ATGTTTATTGATATAATTACTAATTTTAATGATTAATTAAATTTCCAGTAAAACCATAGCAATAAGATATTAATAGAAATCAAAAGTTTGAAAAAAAATTATTTTTCACTTTTTTTCAATCTTCTGTTTTTATTTTTAAATTTTGATATTCTCTTGGAAATATTTTCACCAGACCTATTTAAAATCTATATTTTACATATAACTAAAACAAATGATGCCAATATGGCTACAAACGCATGTTACAATATAATGTTTTGTTCCAGTAACAACTCAGAAGAAATATCTAGCCTACTACAAGTTCACTTAAATTTAAACTGTAAATAACACTTTTTGTATTAATTTTTAATGATAAATCCTCACATATACTTTGATAATTTATTTTTCAAGTTTTTTAGAGCTCAGACTAATTAATGTTGTTTAGTACTCGTAGTATAATTTTCAATTACACTAAACATTTATATGATACAAATAATTTACAGATTTCTTTATATATTATAAAATTTGTTTTTCATTCAAAAGAAGGGTTTGATGCTTAAAATAAAGTAACTGTCTCCACATAATTCTTAGAAATTGGTACTCATATCCAACAGTAATTACTTGAGACAATTAGTAATTATTCAGAATTTTTTTCTTAACTTACAATCTCTCCCATTGATAAGATGACAACAACTTACATTTAAAAATTAGTTTTATCCCATAAAATATACCAAATAAAACCTATACATATTAATAAGTTATTTAAATGATTCAAATTTTTATATTAATACATAAAAAAAAAAAAAAGAAACATTATAAAATTTAATCAATTTTTACCTGTTATCATATTTGGTATAAAATCTTTATGACCAGGTGCGTCTAGCAAAGTGACATCTTTAGTTTTTGTTTCAAACTTCAAATGACCTACGTCCATTGTAATACCACGATTTCTATTATTAAAAATATATTATAAAAATAAAACATATAATATATATTATATTATACCAGTGGATACATTTTAAATTATTTATTTAGTAACCTAGATAATAATCTAATTATCTATGGTGGTTACACAATGTTAGAATATAAATAGGGACAATAATTTAATTGATAAGGTCTAATACATGCATGAAAATTAAAGTTTTGTACCTATTTATACTTATATATTATATAAAAAATATAGTTACAAAATTGAAAATAATATTTATAAATTTGGTATACAAATTTTAATGATTTTCTGGTGGAGCAAAAATATACCTTTGCTCCGCCCAGTTTAAGCCATTGTATTATACATAAAATTAATATTTACCTTTCTTCGGCAGTTTCGTCTAATACCCAAGCAAAGACAAAACTCTGTTTGCCCAACTTTTTACTTTCATGCTCATATTTTTGTATAGTTCGCTGCTGTATATGTCCTAATTTATAAAGTAAATGCCCCATTAAAGTGCTTTTACCTGCATCGACATGCCCTATTATAATTAAATAAAGTTGATCCTTATGAGTGGATGTTAATAATCCTTGATCATCCTTAGCTTTATTACTCCTATTAAAAATTAAGTAAATACATAAAACAATCATATTAAACTATTTGTAAATTAATACTTGGGTGAATTTAATTTGCGATCTACACGTGGTGATCCTAAACGAGGATTTTGAGGAGATCGATTGCGAGGTGTTACTGCAGGTGAGCATATAGGTGTACTAAAAGGTGTTTGTTTAGGTGTGGCAATTAAGTTCTTATTTTTTGAACCTGAAAGCATAATCATAAATCACTTTAATACTATAAATTTTATACATGCCATTATAAAAATGTGCAAACAAATAAATGATAAAATTACCAATAACATAATATTTAAAATCACATTTATCACACGAAAATGTTTTACTTAATTAGTATTTGTTATATAAATCAATTATATACTTAAAATGTATAAATCTAGAGCAACCTCAAAATAATCCACTCATTGAAACCAGGAATCTATGACTATATAATATAACATGTATATGTATATTATATAAGAGAAGAAAATAAGTTTAATGTAGTTAAGTTTTAGTCTATTTTAAATGAATTGCTTTTGTAATGCAGTAAATGCTTTTAAATTGAAATGCATTACTGTAATATATTATATAAATATTAAAATATGAATGGTATACCTGAAATGGACGTATTTCCAAAACCAACAATAATGTTATCTTTATTTTTTGATGAAGAAGCAATAACAACAGAAGGAGGCCTACTTAATCTTCCTTCAGCCGGTTGTTGATCTTTTATTTTTGTAGTACCTTCATGATTTATTAAACAATATAAATATATGAAATACAAATAATTTAATAAATGTTTTAATTGAATAATATTAAATTTACCAATTTTTGAATTTATTATTTGATTAACGGTTTTATCAATGTCAAATTCATTATTAATCAAATGTCCTGCTACAACATCCTTGGCAAGTTCAAAGCCCAAAATTTCTGTTACTCTTTGTAAACATGAATTTACTTTAGCATCAGTTAATTCTTGATCCGATTCAAATTTGGATTTGTGATTAATTAAATAAATTGCTAAAATATAGTTTAAAATAAATAAGAACTTGAAAATAAATGTATGAAAAATGATCAATATTTACCATCACTTGGAGAAATACAGTCATCATCAAATGAATTTGAATAATAATCATCATCATCATCATAATATTCATCTGGAAATATTCACATAGGTAAATACTAAAATATTTTTCAATAATTAGTTACAATTAATATTCACTCTTGAAATTTTAAAAATCATTATAAATTATTATAAACCAACATAAAATAATAAAAAATATTATTTGTAAAAGAAATAATTATATATTATTATTATATATTACTTCAAAAATTAAATGTTTTTTTAATATAAATTTAAAAAAAAATTGTGAAGGATGTAAATAAACTAAATACAATGCATATATCAAAATAAAATGTCACTAGTACTTTTAATCCTTGAGAAGGCCACTTAATACATATAATTTAACATCATTCTACTAGAATCCTCAGAATGTCAATGTAAGTCTGATTTTAAATTAATTGAATTTTTTTTTTTAATCAAAATAATAGTGAGCTCATGAAGTAGCCTCAAAAGTTTTCCTTGAAAATAATTGAAAAATAATTCAAACATTTGTCAATTAACAGCATACAAACGTCAAGTATTTGGGAATAATAAATTTGACATATGGCACTATCAAAAGAAAGTTTACCATCGGAATATTGCGTGGTCCGTACGTTCCTGTGGCGAGCCATTTCAACAGCCAGCAAATAACACCACACTCAATACTTTTAGACTTGCAACAGCGTCATACACTAGATATTTGCTCTGTGTACGTAGTACCAATTAGATTTGTAGTGTTAGAAATATTCGTTGTCGTCACCAGATAGAATAGCATTTGAAAAGGGAAATTGTTCTTATTTCATGCTAAGTTTATTTGATATGATAGGAAATATTATGAGTGCGACCGTGTGATGTTTTGATTTTGCAATTCGCACTATTCGCAGATTCCATTCAAACTTCAAAGGTTGAACTTGATTATGTTATCAGATAAAAGCATTATATCATAGAAAATACAAGTCTACAAATATACATATATATATATATATATGTGTCTGTGTCTACTACAACACTGTTAACAGCAATGATAATGATAGTAAGGTTCCTTCTGTAATGGATTTTCTCAGGAAAAAATTATTTGGTTCTGCACATCTAGTGTACTAAATTTAAAATTTCTTACATTGATCTTTTTCTTCAAAAAAATATTATATTACTTATATGCTTATATTAATATATTGATATTATTTTAATATTTTTGTATTAACACTAGAGTTAACTCTATTTTTATAGTGTTTACTTTTTGAAATTCATATAAATACTCTTATTCTTCCTGATAGGTGATAGCATTGATTTTAAAATGTAGGATTAATATAATAATTAATAAGCATAATCTAAAATCATTGCTGATAGTTATTAGTTTGATTAATTTTTATTTAACAATAGTAATACAATTTACAAGTATCAGTGAATCTAAAACAATTTTGACGCCATCCGATAATTATACCAATTCATCAATATGAAGATGTATTTTATTGATATTTTCCTAATTTAAGTATTAGAGTGAATTTAGGCAAATTGTATATTATTAGGTATAATATATCAAAAAAATATAATTAATTTTTATTTATCTATTGGGTATAGGTATATACATAAGTAGCTCCAAATAATGTAAAATTATTTCAATAAACACTAACGTTTTTAAGATATTAATCTTAAATAATTTTAATCACGAGAAATATTTTTTACTTAAATCGTATATTTTTACTTTTTCTGATGATAACATATATTTTTAATTTCTTAATCCAAAGCAGAATGGGTCTTGGAGTACTATACAGTATACACGTTTGATGAGCGCAGTGATTGATCAAAGTTTCGACAGCATTAATTATACTTATAAATCATTTTAAATATTAGATACTAAATCAATTTTGACTTTTGTATTGGTTCCCATACATCATTAATTTTAATTTTTTCATAACTAGTATCAATTATATATTTTTAATAATTCTTAGAAATAAATAATAAATACATAACTGAATATTTCATCTAATGGCATAAATATCGTTGAAAAAATATTTCTACAAACAAATGTTCGATTTAGATATTAATTCAATTTATAGAAATTGACTTCGTAACAATTATTTTGTTGTATAAGAGGTAGCGATACGGCTAGATAATAATATGTCCTGTCTCCTGAACATCACTGTCACTGTGTTACAGACCGTGTTATTCTTAAATACGTCCAAAATTTTCAATATTCTATAACGTCACGGCAAACAACACCAACAGCCGATGGCCGATGGGGCGATGAAGCGACTACCGTTGACGCCGAGTACTTGCAGACTGCAACACTTTGCAGCAGCTGTCTGGGCACAACAACATAATGATAGTTATTGTAATGATAAAATGACAAGTGTCTGTGGGCGCCCTGATAGTGTATACTCATTACTTAAAAACAGATAATATTATTCTAGATATAAACTATAAGACGATATAATGATAATTGATTTTTTTCGTAATAAAAACATTAAAATAACCATTAATTATTGCAGATCGGTGTACACTTCTCGATTTGCACTCTTCAATGGTCGACGCTTTTGTGGCGTAGATACTTATTCACGTCGATAGCGCGTGCTGTTTGCATACACATTAGCTGACATTACCCAAAGATTTAATTTGACACATCGTGTCTCATTAAGCGACCGTACAAAAACGGTGGTCAATTCCTTGTGCGACCGTCGTCTGTAACGAGTGAAGTAGATACGCCGAAAAGGGTAATAAATACTTTAACAATAATCGACGACGCCGAACAGGGTTATACCATTTTGTTCCTCTCATCTGTGTATCATGCGCTGTCTTTATTCATCTCATTTGAACGCGCGTAAATTACGTATTTTTTTTTCTTCTTATAGTTACACAACAATACATAATTATATATGATAATATAATATCGTAATCGGACACCTCTGCCGCCGCCTACTTCGAGTGACACCTGACAAGTGACCGCCTATACGTTTCGTGTGCGTACCAACGTGCGAGTGTGTTGTGCACACAAATGTAACATATCAGTCGGACCAACACTTGCAGGATCGCTAAGATGGACGAGTCGGCAGACGGCCTATCCTCGACTGGTAACAGGACGACCGCGCAGAGCTTCAAAGTTGTCCTGTTGGGCGAAGGGTGCGTGGGCAAAACGTCGCTGGTGCTTCGGTATACAGAAGACAAGTTCAACGACAAACACGTTAGCACGCTACAGGTAAGGCTTTATGATTGCTGACGATACATAGCTTGTCGGGCTGATGTGGCAGAAATTTTTCTATAGTACAATTGTTTGAGGTTTTTGTTTGTAATCGTGTTCACTGGTCGGTACAGGCATCTTTTGTCAAGAAAAAGCTCAACCTCAACGGGCGGAGAATTAACTTGTCGATATGGGATACAGCCGGACAAGAGAGGTTCCATGCTTTGGGACCGATTTACTACCGGATGTCCAATGGTGCAATACTTGTTTACGACATCACTGATGAAGATTCTTTTCAAAAAGTAATATACCTTTTATACACTTATATACTTTATTATACCTTTATACCTTATCAACACTTTTTATTCAAGTGCTGTAGGTATCATCTAACTTCCATTTTAGAGTCTATTTAGTTATTCATAAGTTGTACAATATCTTATTAATATCTCAAAGGTAGATAGTTGCGTAACAACAAGAATAAGTAGTTTTCAAAAAACCTTGAAAATTAAAGCTCTTAAATAATAAAGAAAAAATGTTTACAATATTTTTACCTTGATTAGGTAATGATTTTTATTTTCTTTCATAAATAATTATTTATTTTAATGAGTTATTATTAAATTATGTTTATCCTATATTTTTATGATATCAAATCCTCAATTTCATTAAATTGTCTTGTCAAATAACACTTTTTGTTAGATGACAATACTAACAATCATCAATTCAGGAAACATATACAAATAAATTTGTTAACCTAACCTTGTTAATATTACAATATTTATAATATTTAACTTCTACTACACCTTGTTATTGTTTTATTTTAAACCATTGGTATGTTTTTAGTATCTTTTTATTTATATATCATTAATTTATTATAGCATAAAATTTACTATTTGTGATAGTTATAAATACTTATAAATCATAGGTAGATGATCTAGTTATCTGTCTCTATTTGTATATTATAAACTATTGAAAAGTCATAGTAATTTTTAATTATAGTTTGTGTAACTGCTAAATAATCACATATTAAAAAAAAAAAATAAACCCATAATTTGGAATTTAATTAAGTAAAGTAAAATTATGATTTATACATTTCTATTTTTAAATTATAAATATTACATTGCATGATAATACTTTATCATCACAATATAGCATTACATATTGGAAAAAAGTAATTTCATGACAACATATTACAATACATATTTACTTAGATAAACAATTATAGGTGCCAATATAATATTTATATTTAATGATTATTGAATTATATATACTAAAGTCTATATGGTTTTTAGGTGAAAAATTGGATTAAAGAATTGAAAAAGATGTTAGGAAGTGAAATTTGCCTTGTTATTGCTGGAAACAAAATTGATTTAGAAAAAGATCGTACAGTTTCAGTAGAAGACGCAGAAAAGTAATAACCAAAAGTGATTTAAAAGCTTGAAAAAATAAATTGATTTCAAATTATATCATTTTCAGCTATGCCAGTTCAGTTGGTGCTGTACATTTTCATACATCAGCCAAAATGAATTCAGGCATTGAAGAAATATTTTTGAGTTTGTGTCGTATGATGATTGAAAAGGCTGATAAACAAATCGCTGATAATTTAGTCACACTAAATCGATCAGGAAGTACAAGAAGAAGAACCATTATAATTGATGATGAAGATGACATGTCATCCAAAGAATCGTCACGTTGGTGTTGTAGTAGTTAATTCATTGCTTTTGCCTTTTTAAAAATGGTTTAAAGATACCAAATTTCATGTTTATTATATATTTATATTTTTTTTGAAAAACAGTTTTGTTCGTGTTATTTTTAACTTTAAAAAAAAATTATATTTTTTATATTAGTTAAATTGTTTTTATAAAAGGTTTATTTATTTTTAGTTGATTTCATTAATCACTAATTAAAGCATTCATATTATTAGTCGTGAGTTAATTGCAGTGTATAATTTTTAAAACACTATTACTTAAATATTTGTTTTCATCCCAAGATAAGAATCAAAATTATTACTCATAGTTCAATTAATGTGGTTGGTAGGTGAAGGTCCTTAACACATTGACAGACAGTGACAATTATTAATGATTATATAAAGATATTTAAATAAATCAATATTCTAGTACTGTTATAACACTACTAGTAGAGTTCTATTACATAAAATATTCTATGTACGTATGACATAAATGTTGTAGTTCTATTATACAGAAAATAATGTAATTATACTCAACATTTGAAAATTAAATATATATTTTAAACATAATTATTTATATAATATATATCTGCCTTATTTTGTCAGTTCCCAATTGTCACCTTGTATGGTATGGGGACAATAAAACTTGGTCTTTCATATTAAATTACTATTGAAAATACCACTATTATAATAGTAGTGTCTCTCTTTTTGGTTTTTCGAATACAGCTATAACAGTAACTTCATGACTGTCTGTCAATGAGTTTAAACAAAGTCAAAAGATAATATAGGAAAATTAATCTCTCAATATTTCAGACAGAAGTTAATGTATTGGTATATTTAAAAACTACTCAACATGAGACTTTATTAGTAAATAAGGTGTTTTGACACCTATTCTAACATTATAAATTAAATGATTTTTTATTTTATTTTATTTTCATGAAATTGATGTGAATGATCTTGAATAATTCCATTAAATTATAGACATTTTTGAATAAATAAATGATTTTGGATAGTACCCGTAAAATATTATTTCATATGGAGCGGATATCAACAAATATAAAGTCAACAAAAATTTAATAATGAAATCAGGCGACGGTAGTGACAAGAGCAGAACAATATGATAGTCACGCTTTGTTATGACTTGTGGCTAACAACTGGTCATTGTTAATTTTATTTTTTTTAAGTATAAAATGCTTTATAAAAATGTTATTTTTGGAGTAATTAATTTCAAAGTACGCACTAAGGTGTTTGTGGTAAGAAAAGTAGTGTTTCTTAAACTATGGGTCGTCAGTCAATTTTTAGTTGCAAACAATTTTTTGAATTATACAGATTCCAAGAAATATATATTAAATTAATATTAAATATATTATTATGTTATATTGTAATTATTAAAAGTACATTCAAGAAAATATATTAATTATAAACCTATAAAATCATAAAAATAATAATTTAAACCTAACAAAAGTACCTAATAAACAAATTTTGTTAAAAAAATTAAAATTATATAAATTTTTAAATAATTAAATTTTTTTTTATTTAACTAAATTTTGAAAAGTGAAACCATGTGGGTTGCAAAAGATTTTTCGGGAAAAATTTGGGTCGCAGTACTAAAAAGATTGAGAACCACTGCACTATAGTACTTAAAATATCTTTAGTACTTGTTATCCCGATCACTTGAGAAATAATACGATTTTTTCAAAGTAAAGAGATTTCACTCTCAATTATCCAGTACTTGTTATTATGATCAATTGTTCGAGAATAAAGCAACATTAAGATTTATAAAGTATATGCCCTACAAAGCAGTACTCGTTATCATGGTCACCATTAGGATAATTGAATAAGTTTTTACAGTAGGTATAAATATTTACTTGTTCGATGGTTTAGGAATAGGAAACCGAGATATTTTTTTGTACATGTCAAGCCTTGCAAAGAGAATACAATAATACCAATATTTCCAATTTTAATATACAAAATTGTATTAAGTAAATATTTGGGTTTTAATATGGATACACAATTTTATACTTGGTTGTAAACATGTTAAACAACTCTGCAAAAAAAATATTTCAATACTATGTAAATATATTTAATAATTTAAAATTATTAAACTATAAAACAAAAATATTAGCTTAAGGAGTTTATTTCTTAAGTTAAAACTGTAAAGGATAATTTTACAGTTATACAATATGTATTCTGTATAGTAAATTAGTAATATATTTAATTTTTTTTTCTAATCAAATACCTTGTAACACTGTTAATTGTTATTTTTAAAGATTATGTACATGAGTAATGGAAAAAAATAAACAGGTATAACAGAATAAAAACAAAATATATTATATTTAAACATTTTTAAATGCGGTCAATTATTTTTTTTTAATTTTCATTGTATACCAAAATAAACATCCGCATACAACAGAACAACAAAATAAATAATTATATAAAATAGTATACACGAGGAAAAATGGTATGTAGTATATACATTAAAATATTAATTTGTATTTATATAATTTAAAAAAAAAATAATAATAAAATTTTGTAATCTAATAAAAATTTATGAAATTTGGGTTAGTTGTATACAAGATCACTATTTTTATTTTATCATTGTATATATTATAACAAATACAAAATATACATCAGATCTGTTGAGTAGCGAATAATAATAATAATAAAAAAAAAAAAACAAGTATGATACAAATTACAATAATATATAAGTACGAAATTATTATAAAAATAGCTTCTAGACAAAATTAATTAATACTGAATGCTAAGTATATATAAATGTTTATAATATGAATAAAAGCAGTTATTTTTGTAGGTATTTAATATTTAAATTAATTAGTCTAAGAAAAAATGTATCACTATTTTGAAAGTTTACTTATTACTCGAATCAAAGCACCATTCTCGTCTTTTAACCTCTGATTTTCTTGGCGTAACTGTTCCATTTGCTATAAAAACAAACATTATTATATATATGTAGATGTAAGAATAATAAAAAAAAAGTCATAAACGAATTCTGAATATTTAAAGAAAATCAAAATAAGCTTTTCACGGTACAACATGAAAATTGTTAATTTTAGCAATAATCAAGTTAATGTTGGTAGGTATATATCAATTAATGCAAATTTTGCATTTCTAACTGCTAAGCATTTAACTGATTAGGTGTATTTATATTAAAATAAGGTTTCAATGATTCAATATGAAAACAAAACACAGTAATAAGCTAAAAATTAAAATCTAAAACAAATAATTTTTTGAAAACCACTAAATTGTATATATTAATACAATGTAATTTTAGAAACACTCTTAAAAAAGAAATACATTTATAACTAATGAGTTAATATTAGATAATATGAAGACAAAGTTACACCCGCACATATTGTTTTAGTAATACACTAATGTACATTAGAGCAAATATGTATATGGAAGAATCTATTTTATAATGCCAGTTTCAATAATAAGGTGAATTGGTTTATTAGACTGTCAATATAATATAGAACATTTCATAGGCATTTATTGAAAATTGAATTTGAAAGTGAGGTATATGAGTTATTTAAATGCTAGTAATTTGCTTATAAATTTGATGATACATCAATTCAAATATCAAATAATAAAATTCATACCAAAAAATTGGTTGATAAAACAAACTAAACAAGTGAGTAGTGTATTAGTGTTAATTACAGCATTAAGATTTATAAAGTATGATCATTGAAAAACTCAAATAAGTTTTATACACATTTGATGAAATGAGAATTAATTGATTAGTAGACCAACTGGAATGGGAATTTAAAAACACACTGAGCATAAAAACAACAGCACACAATCATGACAATTCAATTTTGCACTTTATCTACATACATAAAAAAAAAAAAATGAAGTGTTCGCATAATCAGGTATGAGTAAGTTTAGAAACGACTCTGGTAAGGGCTCTGTTCTCAGTTCGGAGCCGTTCATTTTCTGCTTTCAACTTTTGCAATTGCTAGATAACATAAACTCAAGTGTAAGCTCTAAATATTTTCTAACACAAATAGCAACATTGATAATGAGTCTAGTTTTATTTGTAGAAGACAGGGGTAGACATTTTATTTTATTTTAATTCTCTCCACAACCCAATAAATAAGGTACATAATTACCTTGAGTTCTTCCTCCATCTCGGATAGTTTTCTCTCCATAGCCCGCCTTTCACGTTTTTCCGTTTCCGATAATGTCGTGCTTTTTCCAGCCTGAAACATTCAGTTAATCATTAACATAAAATTAATTACAACTGAGATTCGTTTGTAGAGGTAAATAACAATGTTTCTCACATTGGTCGACTGTTTTTCTATAGTAATCTTGGCTTCTAGTAAGTCTTCTTCAGTCTTCTGTAACTGTCGCCTTAATCGTTCATTATCAACGACTACTTCTTCATACAACTAAATCGATACACGGAATCATGAACAAACAGTAAATCGAGTAAACGCGATAAATACTCACAGCTTTGTAATCGATTTCGCCGTTTTCGGAGCACGGACCCGGAGAATTTGCAGCGCTATTGGGTTTACTGTCTTGTGATGACGATATTGAACAGAGCCGCGACGTTGGACTCGACTTAGTATCTCCGCCGCTCTGAAACCAATAACAATCATGTAACAACAATGAAATTAATACACGTTGCGTAAAACGCTAATAACGATAACACATGACCACCGATTGATGGCGTTTTTGGGATTTTTCAAAAGGGTAAGTAGGAATCATAAGTGCTCCCAGACATTTTTCTAAGGATGATGGGGAGCTATCTTCAATTTTTCTACTAAATATATATATAATAATATTATATGAAAAATATAGCCACATCTCATGGCGGATTCCGCCATACGATCACGGACCAATGTCGTTTACCAAAATCGATAAAATGAAAAAAGCTGCAATTCACATAAGTTAAAATATAATGTGCAATATTTATTGGACGATTTTCTACTGCAAGGGTCAGAAATTAAATTTTATGGCAGTCTAGATATTCAGAAAAAAATTTTCGTGAACCAGAAAAATCTTTAATACATTTAGTTAATAATTAATGCATTTATTTTTAAGTTAAAAAAGTTTTAAAAGCTGTTTAAAGCAAATTATTAAATATAATATAAT